ATGTACACTGAGTCAGTGATGCCATCCAACCATATCATCCTCTGTCATTCCCCTTCTCCTCTTGCCCTCAATCTTTCCCAGCATCAGGGTCTTTTCCAATGAGTCTGCTTTTTGCATCAGGTGGCCAAAGTATTGGAGCTTCAGCTTCAGTATCAGTCCTTTCTTTTTTTTATTTATTTTTTTTCCATTTATTTTTATTAGTTGGAGGCTAATTACTTTACAACATTGCAGTGGTTTTTGTCAATGAATATTCAGGACTGATTTCTTTTATGATTGACTGGTTTGATCTCCTTGCAGTCCAAGGGACTCTAAAGAGTTTTCTCTAGCACAATTCAAAAGCATCAGTTCTCCAGTGCTCAGCCTTGTTTATGGTCCAACTCTCACATCTGTGCATGACTACTGGAAAAACCATAGTTTTGACTATTTGGACCTTTGTCGGCAAAGTGATGTCTCTGCTTTTTAATACTCTGTCTAGGTTTGTCATAGCTTTCCTTCCAAGGGGTAAGCATCTTCTAATTTTGTGGCTACAGTCACTGTCCCCAGTGATTTTGGAGCCCAAGAAAATAAAATTGGTCACTGTTTTCACTTTTACCCCATATATTTGCCATGAAGTGGTGGGACCAGGTGGTTAGAGGTATTTAGCCCCCAGGCCACCTGTAGCAGACCTGATGCAATGCGTCACAATCCCTGGCCCACCTCATTTTACTGAGATCCCCCACACATTTTTCCAGCACCCCTCATCAAACATGGGGTGGCCGTCATAGGGACACAAAACAGATCAGTAGCTGCCCAGTGGTGGTGGAAGGAGGTGACTAGATATAAAAGGGAAGAAGGAAACTTCCGGGTAGATCATGAAAATGATCTACTGATTAAAGAGAAAACTGCTGCTGGGTCTTGGGAGATGGTGTGAAGAGAGACAAAGGACATTCTAGGAAGGTTATTCCAACATAGATTACAGTTCTGTTGTCTTGAGAAATAGGGTCATCTGCTGAGGCTTCACCACATGGCACAAATTTCATTCCTATGCTCTTTAGAACATCAGTGAGGAGCTGGAAACACAAGACTCTGTGGAAGACTGAAAATACCCTGTCAGCTGAACCCTAGTTTTATCTTCAAAAGGCCTTAAATGGATTAAACTATGGTTCAACTTTTTTTCCCCTTTGACTGCACCATGCGGCATGCAGGATCTTAGTTTCCAGACCAGGGATTGAAACCCAGGTCCCCCTGCCGTGGAAGTGCCGAGCCCTAACCACTGGACCGCCAGAGAAGGACAGGAAAGCCTGGCATGCTACAGTCCCTGGGGTCACAAAGATTCGGACACGACTGAGTGACTGAACAACTACAAGAATGAATGAAGTACTAGAAACAGTTAAGAAGTGACAACATGAAGACTCATGTTCTCCCAAGTTTTAACAATGTTCACTGGATCCCAACAATTTCATTTGTAACAGAGGACAAATCTGACTCTACATTGAGTCTATTCCTTTAGCTCAAACCCTTGGGCTCTGTTGCCTATGCTTACTCAAGCTGGTTCTCCATCTTCTGTAAAAATAATGTCATCTACAGCCTGAAATATATAGGAAAGCCCATTCTCAAGGCTCTGACCTTTAAAGGTATAACACTTTTCTCATCATATAGGGATAAAAAGTTGCAGAATAGAGAAGAATATTTGTGTTGTTGGAGGTTTACAGGAACAGAGTGACCTGACCTACATGGACAGCTACAAGAACAAAGGATTCTGACACCAAATAGTTTGCAACAACCAACCAACACCCCCTCCCCACATCCATCCCTTTCTATCTCGGGTAAAATGGTTGTTTGGGACATGAGTCCACCATCTTCTCAGTTTTCTGGCTTTCCAGATAAAGTCGCTGTTCCTTGCCCCAACCCCTTGTCTCTTGATTCACTGGCCTGTCGTTTGGTAAGAAGTATGAGCTTGGGTTTGGTAATACATTCTCATTCTTATTTTACAGGTGAAGAAGCCAAAACCCAGAAAACTGAATTTAGACCAGATCTGAACTCACAGGACTCTTTTTACTCCACCTAGTTATGGTAAATCTGAGGTTTCATGCCCAGCATTAAAGTGATGAATAGCAGTAGTCAGGTAGTTCCCAAGGTTAATAATTTCCCCAAAGCATTTAACCAGCACCCAGACAAAGCCATCCCAGGGGAGAGGGGTGGAAGAAAAGTAGGTTAACGGGACTTAACTTGAATTTCAGCAGTTGCCTCTCAAAGGAACATTTAAAGAGCACAAACACGACCCCACAAAAGAGTTAAGACAAGTTTTTGTTGCTTTACGTATTTCAGATACTGTATTTTTTTTCTCTAGAAGTTCAACTGGAATCTTTCTTCATCATGCTCATGTAATCTTCCTTCCAGAACATGTGAAGAATGTTTATAATGGCTGTTTTCATTCAAATCCTGTCTACTAATTCTATCATGTTTCACTTCTGAGTCTGGTTTTTTCTTTCTTGATTTTTAATATGAAAAACTTCAGATTAATGACTAAGATATCTTTTTGGGCTAATTGAAAGTGAGTCACTCAGTCATGTTCAACTCTTTGCAACCCCGTGAACTATATAGTCCATGGCATTCTCCAGGTCAGAATACTGGAGTGGATAGCTGTTTCCTTCTCCAGCGGATCTTCCCAACCCAGGGATTGAACCCAGGTCTCCCTCATTGTAGGCAGATTCTTTACCAGCTGAGCCTCTGGGGAAGCCCAAGAATACTGGAGTGGGTAGCCTATCCTTTCTCCAGCGGATCTTCCTGATCCAGGAATCAAACTGGGGTCTCATGCATTGCAGGCAGATTCTTTACCAGTTGAGCTACTAGAAACTTCCTTAGGATAATTAGTAGTCTTTAAAAGTTGCACTCAATCATTAGTAGGGTATCAGAAAATAAGATCTTTAGAAAAAGAGCTAAATACATTTAGTTCAAAAGAATTCAATGTAATATGGAATTAGGGGAGATATGAAAGACAGATAAGTTTTAAAGGACAGAAACTCAATGTTTCATGTTGACATAAACATTTGACACAAACCATACCTTCAGAGTCCTTTGGACAGCAAACTAGTCAATCGTAAAGGAAATCAGTCCTGAATATTCATTGGAAAGACTGATGCTGAAGCTGACGCTCCAATACTTTGGCCACCTGATGTGAAGAGCCGACTCAATGGGAAAGACCCTAATGCTGGGAAACACTGAGGGCAGTAGGAGAAGGGAGTGGCAGAGGATGAGGTGGTTGGATGGTATCACTGACTCAACAGACATCAGTTTGAGCAAATTCCGGGAGAGTGAAGAACAGGGAAGGTATGCTGCAGTCCACAGGGTCATTGAACAGTCGGACACGACTTAGCCACTGAACAATAAATATTTACCAAGCACTGAGTTCTTCCTCTATTTCTAAGGAAAATGTTTAAAAGTTTGGGTCTGAATTATATTAATACATTAGTCACTGAAAACAACCATATTTCCCCAAGTATTTTCTAATTCAAATAGCTTATACATTAAAGGGCCCAGATTTACCTCTAGACTTTTACATAAGCACCAAAAAAGTTTCTAAACCAACTATTTCGATTTTAGAAGCCCCATGTGAAAGAAAGAAGTGCACATACAGCTTAAACTTTATAACTTACATGTTGTTAAAGTACTCTGCTTGAAATCCCATTTTCTTCAAATTCTACCTGAAATAAGAATGGCTATTTCCAACATGCAGATTAGAAAACTGAAGCTGGCAATTGACGCCAAGTCCTGAATTCAGAGGTCTTGAGTAATTTCTTGGTCAATATTGTCAAGTTACAACTAAAACCTCACTTCCACAAGAAGATTTTTGTTAACTCATCAAATGACGAATCAAATCGAAAACTCTTATCATTTTTGCTTAGTCACTCAGTCGTGTCTGACTCTTTGCAACCCCGTGGACTATAGGCCCCCAGGCAAGAATACTGGAGTGGGTAGCCATTTCCTTCTTTATGGGATCTTCCCAACCCAGGGATTGAACTTGAGTCTCCTGTATTGCAGGCAGATTCTTTATCATCTGAGCTAGTGAAGGAACTGGTACTCAAACATAGAACTGATCCTAAAGTTATGCTTCCTACAACTAGGAAGAGAAAACCCTACAGATGGATTTAAGAATATATACTAAATGTATTTTCCCAATCCTGACCATATATGTGTGTGTACATGTATATGGGATTCCCAGGTGGTGCTAGTGGTAAAGAACCTGCCTGCCAACCTTATATGCAGAAGATTTAAGAGACATGGGTTCAATCCCTGGATTGGGAAAATCCCCTGGAGGAGGGCATGGCAACCCACTCCAGTATTCTTGCCAGGAAAATACTATGGACAGAGGAGCCCGGATAGTTTATGTGCTCATAGTGCTGCAATGGTTCCCTAACGGAGTAGACTGCTTGGACTCAGGACACCCATCTCTCCACTTACAATGCAGGGAGCTGAACAATGCAGATTCCTCATTCCTCACTCTTGCTGAGATCAGAAATTTTATCTTCCTGAGGAAGAGAAAGGTACTATGGAGCCACACCCACTCAAATCCTTGCTCGCAAGTATACTGATCACCTTTGTAGGCTAAAGTCCATAGGGTCGAAAAGAGGCGGACACAACTGAAGCTACTTAGCACATGTGTGTGTATATACATGTATCTAATTGTTTACAGGTAACATTTTGAGAATGAGTGTGGTTTTCCTTTCCTTTTCATAATCTCCAGGTTTATGGTTTTCAACATGTGTATGGTACAGTGCACAGATCATAAACTCACAGTTCAATGTACTTTCAAAACCTCAGTACATTCAGATAACCAGCACCCTGATTAAGAAACAGAGTAGTACCAGTCTCTTTTGTTTCCTCTTCTTAAGCTCACTTTCAAAGGTAGCCTTCAGTATTCAGAATCCAAGACGAATGTCTATCAGGAGCCACAGGGAGACAATATTCATTTTCTGACTCAAAGACCAGAAAGAAAGAGATAGGGTATGAGGCTCAAGAGATTCATTTTAAAAAATTATCTTTATTTAGGTTTCTGATTCAGCACATGTATCAAAGGCTAATCAACATAAAGAAGTAAATAAGACATTAATTGGAAGTCTTACATCTCTCTAAATTCTGACCAAGAAATGTCAAGATTGCCACTATTAGCAGAACTCCAACCTAGTCAAGTTGTAGACAAGCTATTATGAACGACATACAGTGTGCACAGATACGCAGAGGCCAAAGACATGCTAGCACTTGGCTCTCTTCTCCTCCTTGTTGATGCCTTTCCTCAGGACAGTCCACTTTTGCTTTCCATGCCTAGCTCCAAATAAAGTCCAAAGAAGGCTCAGGGTCAACCTGATCCAACACTCTGCTGGAAGAATGCATTCTCAAACTGTTGTGCCTGCAACTTTGTTTTTGCCAGGATGAAGTTCAGATCGAGATGTACAATACAATCTAGATGACAGTGCAGACTAGGTCAAGAACTAAAGTTGAGCAGTAACCCGAATTAAGGCATGAATGCACACACACACACTTGCACACACACATCATCCACACTATCATGAACAGAAGGTTCCTTCCATTGCCTAGCAAGAGGCAACCAGGGCTTGGCAGTTAACCGCAACTGCTGAGCACTCTGGAACATGCTCCCTATAATTTTATACTAACAGCTGTGTGTGTTTTATCCAAAAAAGAAAAAAGAAAGAGAGAAGAAAGAAAAAGGAAAGAAACTAAAAAAAAAAAAAACAAAAAAAACCTAACAACAACAAAAATGCAAAACCAAAACAAAACCCCGAAACCTAAAACCCCTTAATCTCTTACAATGGCTCTTGAGCATGGAACTCACATAGCAGCGTCAATGGCTGGCTCTTTTGTAATTTGGAAATAAAAGGTTGTTTTACTATGCATTTCTTTGGTAGTCATCACTACAAAGTTATCAGTGTTGGTTACCTATAATACAAGTACTAGATAGAAGAATCAAGTTATGCAGAAATTATTTCTTCTGTATTGATAAGATAAAAATAGTGAGCTCTCCAAGCACAAATTACTATGCTTTTTCTTGCCTTATTGTAAGGGCATCCTCTACAAGCAAGGCTTCGTGCAGGAAAAGTTCATGTCTACCTAACAAAGGGCGATAACATATTCTATCTTTCTACAATTGAACAGTTAACAAAAATTCACATTATCCATTATTTCTGGTCAAATCAGTGAGAAGCCAATTACAAAGGGGCAGCAGCAGCACTTGGTGTCAAAGCCACATTCTGGTCACACATTCATTCCATGGTTGTGGTCAGGCTCTCAGGAGCTCAAAATTTCAAACTCCTTTCAATGAACAAAGGAGTGAGTTAAATCAAATCTTAAATACTTCCACCATCTGCCACATCACTATAAGTCTGTCTAGAATGCCAGCATGCTGGATGACAGAGAGCAGTTCAGAGCCCAGAGAGGCATCAGGTGTTAGGGAAAGTAATTTGGTTTTGTATAAAAGGCATGGTCATCTGGCGACAAGTACTTATTCTATTAGCAGCACAGTGATAGCCAAGGGTCTCTGTCAGTGAGACAGGAAAACGACGCTATTGAACCTGCTGTGGCTCCCACCTGCCTTCCAAGGCTTCTGGGAGTCAGTCCAGGGTTGTGGGTGGGCAACAGGAATAGCAGAAACTGCATTCAGCCCCCAAAAGACATGCCCCAGGTATGTCAGCTTCCCGTGGGCAAGGAGGCTTTGCCTCTGATTGGGCTTGAGGTGGAAATCTTTGGGGTCCTTGGGGGTTACACAACTGCCAAGGAGCTGCCCTAGCAGGTACTGCCCAAGGGTGACAGGCTCCCCACAGGGTTATAAAACACTCAAACAGGACCCGAAACGGCATCAGTTCAAAAGAGTAGTGTTTGTTCTATTAATCCAGAATGTCCACTGGGAGAGGCAACAGATTCATAGTGAAAAAGTGCTGTTTGAAGGAGCTGTGTATTATTTTGCAATGAAATGACTAGTCTAGGGAAACTGGCATCACCTTCCTATAGAAATCTGAAAGTTAAGAACCTGTCTCTAGAAGGCATTTATCAGAACTGTTTGCTCCTCCAAGTGCTTTTTCAGTCACCATAGGACAATGCTTCAACTTTTGTGCTTTCAGGAGATCACTAAATTGCTAGCAAGCAGAGGGAAGATCATAACATTTTAGACTCTCTCTCTTGTTTGAGTGCAAGACCCTCTATCCAACAGCATTGAAACCTACAGCCTTGTAGAAAATTCTTGTAAACATAGACCATATTTCTCCTATAAGAAAAACTGAGAACTGTACCATGCAGGCAACACCTGTTTGCCTGCTCTCAGAATTCCTCAAAATGGCCAAGTGTCAGGAGGGACAGTGAGCCATTGGTGAAATCCCCAGGTTAGACAGGACCCCGTCGGATTGAATTAAAAACCTCAAGCCTCAATAATCAAATGCCAAACTTCTTCCCCATATTTGAGAACTGTACTATGATTATGTATATTACACATTATAAATAAAATTTATATAGACTTATGATTTCTTTCAAACAATTGAGGAGCAATGCTCTCAGTTTGGGGGTGGAAACTGAAAGAGCTGAAAAAAAAAATCCTATTGTTGCTTTTACTCTCAAGTTCTTAAGATGCTAGTCAAACACTATTAGCCAACAAGACTTTTTCTCATTCTGTAACTCTTAAATATGCATTTGAAGGCAAAAAATGGACGTTTCTCTACTGTACAATATTAAGTATCTACAATGTTATGGTTCCTTATACTTAGGAGTGTGTTCAGTAAAGAGCTAGCTATGAGAGGTGGTAGTCACAAAACAGGGACTCTTAAAAATTACGGATAAATTAATTTTCAGTTCTCTGATTATATCCAACAGATACACATTCTCATCATAAAATATACATTCTCTAGTAAGTTATTTCCATCCACAGCATATAGAAATATGCAAACACAGGTGGTAAAAATCACTTTACTACCAAAGTACAAAACAGTAACTGCTGAAAAGTCAAAAGAAAGGTGTTCCAAGTGTTAAGAAAAGAGTGACTCATAGTGTTCCACTTTAAGTGAAACCAAACAATTTATTTGGGCTGAATGAATGAAAATAACGCATTCAGGATATACTTCTTTGAACACTGCACTTATTTTTACTGGGTAAAATAAGCAGTCCTCAAGGCTAATGTGCTACTTGTCTCTACAGCTCTTTCCTGCTAAGAGATAAAGTATTTTGTGGCCATTATGCCAAGGTATTCCTATAATGTTCATTTCAAATAGTATCTTCTAATAGTATTTTTGCACCTTTAAAATATCTGTTTGAACTCTATTTTAGGGGAACACAAGTAAAGAATGGAAAGGCAAAATAGCTGTTTTTGTTACAATCACACTGCCTTTGGCAGCAGAAATCACACGGCAGGTTCTTATCAGCCATCGCAACCACTGGTGGGTAGTTAGCAACTCACAGGAGAGGGGGCCAATGTGGGTAGGTTAACATCAAGGATAAAGACAGAATCACACCTAGATACACAATAATTATCCATCCCATGTATATGGAAAAGATACAGCCATGTGAGCCAATACTTTAGGTGACCTTCTTTACAAGAGATGTGGGTGTTGAGATATACTGAACATACCCCATACAAAGTGTATCTGCTAGAAGGCTATATTAAACATGATCTTGGGCACTGATCCAGCTAACTTTCTGTTCTATACTGAGAGCTAGATTTTCAAAGGTCTGAACTGTAGTGCTGAATTATTGGTATGCTTGGTAAACACCATTAGAGTGGGGGGTGGGGAAGAATAATAACAGCTCAGTAATTTTCTGAAAATTCATGGAAAAAAATATAAAAAAGAGATCCCTTTTTATTTTACAAACCTAAAAGCCAGGAAAATAAAGCTCTGGGGGCCAAGCGAAAAATTGCACACTGCTGCTTAACTACCAAAGAGTCGAAAAGCCGAGGTCCCAGCCAGGGAATGGACGCACATGTAGATTCAAGTAGAACACCGATGGAAAAAAGTCGTCTGTTTAGTGTTGTAGACCCACAACACTGGCTGCGTTTCCGACACACATTTACAACACAATGAATAGTGAAGCCTAGATAACCTCAGTGCAAATAAGTCAGATCCGAATATGCCAGGGAAGGAAGCCTTTGGCGGCGAGTCGACGGCTCCACTGTGTGAACGAGTCCCCACGTGGGGTCTGGACTAAGCACATGCGCTAAGGCTGGGAGGAGGGGTGCACCGAGTGTTGCGAGGCGGCCGCCGAGGGGACCGCGGGCTGCACGGGCGGCGGCGGAGGCGGCGGCGGCGGCTGGACGGGGGTCTGTGTGTTGGGCGACGGAGGCGGCGTGGGCCGCTTGAATTTGTCAGGACTGTTGCTTCTCCGCGGTGAAGGCCTCTGTAGAGAGGGCAGGAACAGCAGGTCAGACCAGGCATACAGGCTCACCCCCAACCCAGCCTGACTTGGGGCGAAGGATGTCCAGAAGCGGACCCATGGAGACAAAACACTGGCCATGTCCTCGTCCGTCCCCAGTGGTTTTCAAACGCATCATGAAAACGTCAACAAGGTGGAGTGTGCACTGACACCTATGAAAAGGCTACACAAAATCACTACGAAATGTGCATTGACCAAACGACTGCACTTGGGTCCTTCAATGAGACTGTCCGAAAATGTCACATCCTTCCCTTAAATTCTTTCTCTCTGTTGTGTGTCTCCAGTTCCTTCCATCCCTCAAACAAGTTTTCGATATCCTGAAAGCTACGGCTCAACCAAAAATGTTCCTGCTTTTATGTAAAGCTCATCAAACCAGCAAAACAGCTTCAAAAATATCTTACACACTTTTTTTTTTGTAGAATAGGGTTCTTCTTTTCAAGATTCCCTCACTGGGAACATCCTCCATTCTACCCTGTTCTCAAACCTCTATTAGTGACATTTCCAACAAGCCTCTTATTCAACTACATAACCAGCTCTAAAGAAAACACTTGGCTGAGTAGGGCCTGAACCAGATACACATAAGGTTACTTCTAATTTCAGGAAAGAAAATTCTGGATGACACTAGAAATGAATCTAATTTCAGGAAGAATATTGAGGGTCAGCAAACCGTGAAGATGCAGACAATAAATACTTTTAGTTGTGATGGCAACCAACAAAAATTCACTATGGCAAGGAGCTGGCTAGAGTTCAATCACGGCATTGGCCAGAGTGCAAACTACATTTCATGAAGGGCAATTTTTCAAAGAAAGTGAAGGTCAAGATTTTGCCTCCTGAGAAGGATTTTAGTTTCAACACCACAATGCGGCATTGAATTATTGGGAGATATCTAGAAGTTTAAGATGAACTGAAGGAATAAGAAAGGTAAAGTTCCAAGGGCATCAATACCAGCTCCCATGTCGCTATATCAGTCGCTGCCACCATCAGACATAAAGTGCTGCTTCCTGCATGGATACTTACTGTGATACCATGGGATGCTCCCATATGCTGCACATGAAGACCTGGGGAATTGTAATAAGACATTCCGGCTCGTGTCAGTGAAGTTGGTGGCGTGAAACCAACTGTGTGACTTGCATATGAGAGACCTGAAATATAACAACAACTCGTGAGTGTTACTCTGGACTCAACTCTCTGGTGTCTTAAGCATCTAGGAGGCTTAAAAATAGGGAAGTTCCTGGTGGTCTAGTGGTCAAGACTCCATGCTGCTAATGCAGGGGGCACAGGTTCAATCCCTGGTTAGGGAACTAAGATCCCACATGCCTTGAGGCCAAAAAAAAATGTAGAAGCTTCTTATTCATCCACAAAAATGCAAATGAATAAGAGGAGTGATGGGCTCACCAAATGGCCTGATGGATGGATAACAAAGGATATAAAAGTGAAGCCCTGTAACAGACAAGACAGTCCAGATATAAGTCCACGCATAAATGGTCAGATGATTTCAACGAAGGTGCCAGGAATATGCAATGGTAAAAGGGTGGTCTCTTCAACAAATGGTGCTGGGAAATTGGACATTCACGAGCAAAAAGAATGAAACTGGAGCCCTAACTTACACCACACACAGAAATCAACTCAAAATGAATGAAAGATTCACACATACAACCCAAAACCATAAAACTCCTATAAGGAAACACAGGGGAAAGCTTTATGACATTGGTCTTGGCAATGATTTCTTAGATACGACACCAAAAACACAGCCACAAAAGCACAAATAGCCAAATGGGACTAGAGCATACTAAAAAGCTTCTGCTCAGCAAAGGAAATAATCGACACAAAGGTAACCTATGGAATGGGAGAAAATATTTATAAATCATGTATCAGATAAGGGAATAATATCCAAAATATGTAAGGAACTCATCCAATGCAAAAGCAAATAAACAAATAACCTGATAAAAAAATGGGCAGAGAACCTCAGCAGAAACTTTTCCAAAGAAGGCAAACAGATGGCCAATAGACACATGAGAAGATGCTCAACATCATTAATCATCAGTGAAAAGCAAATCAAAACCACAACAGGATATGATCTTACATCTGTTAGGATAGCTATTATAAAAAATAAAAATAAACATTTCTAAAGGTTGACAAGGATGTGGAGAAAAGGGAACCCCATGCACTGCTGATGGGAATGTAAATTGGTGCAAACGCTATGGAAAGCATTATGGAGCTTCCTCAAAAATTAGAAATAGAACTATCATAAATGATCTAGCAATCCCACTTCAGGGTATTTATCCAAAAGAATTGAAAACAGGATCTTGAAAAGAAATTTGCACCCACAGGTTCATTGCAACACTATTCACAGTAGCCAAGACATAGAAACAACCTAAAAGTTCATCAGCAGATGAGTGGATAAAGAAAACATGGCATAAACACACAATGGAATATTATTCAGCCTTCAAAAAGAAGAAAACGTGCTTTTTTTTTTTCTTTTAAAAGAACATGGATGAACCTGGAGGACATTATGTTAACTGATATAAGCCGGTCACAGAAGGATGGATACTGCATGACAACACATACATAAAGGATCTAGGTCAAACTCACAGAAGCAGAGAGCAGGATGGTGGTTGACAGTGGGTGGGGATAGAGGAAATGGGGGAATTATTACTTGATGGGTAAAACATTTCAATTTTATAAGAAGAATAAGTTACAGAGATATGCTGCACAACATTGTACCTATTTAACAATACTGTACAGAACAGTTAAAAAGGTGTTAAGAGGGTAGATCTCATGTTAAGTGTTCTTATCTCCACTAAAAAAAAAAAAGTCAAGGCTTGAGAGGAGTACAACTGAGACAATACAAAAGTAGAAGACAGGAGACGAAATAAGAGTAAAGTGGAAAAAATAGAATGAAGGGGTAAAGACCAGATGCAAGAAAAGGGAAAGTGTCAAAAGATACACCAGTAATAACAAGACAAAACCACCATGTTTGTTGTAGCCACAAAGGCAAACAAAAAGGCATCACTGAAAACTTGGCAACTTCAGGATATTAAATGAAGAAAACAAAAAGCCCTATATATCCCAATGTTCCTCCCCAAAGAAACAGATATTTAACCACTTCCTGAGTTGATGTTTTCAAACTGTGGTGCTGGAGAAGGCTCTTAAGAATCCCTGGGACAGCAAGGAGATCAAACTAGTCAATCCTAAAGGAAATCAATCCTGAATATTCACTGGAAGGACAGATGCTGAAGCTCCAATACTTTGGTCACCTGCTGTAAAGAGCAGACTCATTGGAAAAAACCCTGATGCTGGAAAAGATTGAAGACAGGAGAAGGGGATGTCAGAGGACAAGATGGTTGGAGGGTATCACCGACTCAATGGACATGAGTCTGAGCAAACTCCGGGACATAGTGAAGGATAGGGAAGCCTGGGCTGCAGTCCACAGGGTCACAAAGAGTTGGGCACAACTTAGCAACTGAACAACAACAACCTCTCCTTCTAGGCTCATCTCAAAAGCTCTCTAAGCTGGTAGCTCTCTCTCCTTTGAAATTAGTTTAAAATTATACCTTCTAATTTTATCATAAATTCTTAGTTTGAAATAGTTTATGATTCATAAGAAGTTGCAAATATACTACAGGATCTCTGTCTACACTTCACCCAGCTTCCCTCAATGATATCTTACATAACCACAGCACATTGTCAAAAACAGAAAATTGACACTGGCCCAAAACAAGTGACTAAAATACAAACTTACTGTGTGTGTGTGTGTATACGTACAGGTGTAATTTTATCACTTGTGCTGATCCAAGTAATTATCACCACAATCAGCATACATAATCATTGCAAAACCACAAGCAAACTTCTTTGTGTTGTCCCTTTAACTGTTATGCCCTCTCTCTAATCCTAACCCCTGGCAAGGACTGATCTGTTTTCCATCACTGTAATTTTCTCACTTTGAGCATGCTATATTAATAGATACGAAATTATACAGTATACAATCCTTTGAGATTAGTTTTTCATTCATCACAATGCCTCTATGATCCTTCCGAGTTATTGTGTATATCAAGTTAATTTCTTTTTAGTGCTGGGTAATATGTCATTGAGTATGGATGCACCACAGTTTAACATTTTAGGGGATATAAAATACATAAAACTCATTATATTTGGCCTTGCATTAATAGTATCTTATTTCTTATGTTTCCTTAGGCCCTGTTGTTCATAAGCATTAGAGGCCAGAGACCAAGTCTTACAAATTTTATTTTTCTCCTAAGTTATAATCATCATACATCTGACCCTCAGGCCCAGAAATACAATAAAGGATAAAAATCCCCCAAAAATCCTAAATAGAAAATACCTCCTAAACAGAATACTGTGGCTTTATGAAGTTATTGTTGGAATAAATTGCTCTTGCTCTACTACAGAAATGCATTGCCTAGAGTAAAAATTTTAAGGTTTATTTCATTGTCCACTAGCTCAAGATTGTGAATTTTAAAAAAATGATTCATTAAAAGCAATTCATGACAAAATACCACTAAGCAAAATTGACACTTGAAAACACTAAAATATTAACACTGACTTTGGATATAAGGATTCTGGATGGTTTTATGAATATTTCTGCTTCTTCCAACTGCCCCCAAATTCCCTCTAACACACCTCTGCTAAAGGAAAAAAAAAAAAACAAAACCAGCCACCAGAGAACCAAACAAAAGGCAGAAGTTTGAAGATTCTGTTCCTTTGGAGATTATTTTAGTTCTACAAGTCATTCATGAAAACATTGTCTCTGTGAACATTCACGCACTAGAGATATGATTTCTTCTTTAGCTCTCCCTGATCTGGCTCTGTCCTCGTCACTCCATCAAGGCTGCTCTTGCCAAGTAGGCAGCGTTTCTGTGCTGCCAGCTGCATTGCTACTCTCTGCTCTTTACTGCAACTGACCCTGGGGCAATGAGGGACAGAGCTGACCCCTCCCTTCATGCTGAAAGGCTTTGTCTTCACCTCAGTGATATCAGATACTGGTTTTCCTTCCTCTTTTCTGGGAGCAACTTCCCAATCTCCTTCACCAAGTTTCCTTCTGTACATGACCTTTAAATATTACAGTCACTTCTGGATCAGAAGGGAGGCCTTTTCTCTTCTCCCTCTACCTTCCATGAGTAGGTGATCTCATCTATTTAGTAGCTTTAAAATAGAGTTCTTATTTTAGAATAGTTTTTGGTTTACAGAAAAGTGGCAAAAATAAGTATAGAGAGTTCCTGCACTTCACACACTCAGATTCCGTATTATTATTTGATCACACCACATGATTTGTAGGATCTTAGCACCCCACTCCAGTACTCTTGCCTGGAAAATCCCATGGACAGAGGAGCCTGCTAGGCTGCAGTCCATGGGGTCAGTAAGAGTCGGACACGACTGAGCAACTTCACTTTCACTTTTCACTTTCATGCACTGGAGAAGGAAATGGCAACCCACTCCAGTTTTCTTGCCTGGAAAATCCCAGGGATGGGGGAGCCTGGTGGGCTGCCGTCTATGGGGTCACACAGATTCAGACACGACTGAAGTGACTTAGCAGCAGCAGCAGTCCTCAACCAGGGACTGAACCCATGACCTTGGAATTGAAAGTGTGCAGTCCTAACCACTGGATTGCTGGGGAATTCCAACAGATTCCCTATTATTAACTTTTTATGCCACTGTGGTACTTTCGTCACAACTAATAAACCATCGTTGATACATTACTACTAACTCAGGTTCATACATTATCTGGATTTCCTGAGGTTTTCCCTATTGTCCTCTTCCTGTTTCAGGAATCCATTTAGGATACCATGTTCTATGCATAGTTGTCATGTCTCATTAGGCACCTCTTGGCTGAGATAGTCCTTCAAATTTCCTTGTTTGTTATGACTTCATCAGTATTAAGGTGTACTGATCAGGTATTTTACAGACAGAGTGTCCCTCTACTGTCTGATATTTTCCACGTGGGGTGATGGGCTTTGGGGAGGAAGACCGCAGAGGTAAAGAGCTCTTCTCATCATATCATATCAAGGGTGTGTGTGTGCTAAGTCGCTTCAGTTGTGTCTGATTCTCTGCGACCCTATGGATTGTAGCCCACCAGACTCCTTTGTCCATGGGATTCTCCAGGCAAGAATACTGGAGTGGGTTGCCATGCCCTCCTCCAGGGGATCTTCCTGATCCAAGGATTGAACCTGCATCTCTTATGTCTCCTGCATTGGCAGCCGGGTTCTTTACCGCTAGTGCCACCTGGGAAGCCCTCATATCAAGGGTACATACTACAAACATGACTGACCACCGTCGATGTTGACCTTGATCTCCTGGCTGAGGCAGTACCTGTGAAGTTTCTCCACTATAAAGGTACTCTTTCCCCTTCCTTCTCACACTGTATTCTCTGCAAATCCTCATCTGCAGTCCACATTTAGAGATCAGGGAGCTAGTTCCACTTCCATGAGGATAGAGTATCTATGTCAATTATTTGGAATTCCTCTTTAATGAGAGATTTATCTCTTCTCCCTGTTTATTTACTTAGTTATTTATTTAGATCAGTGTGAGCTGATGAATATTTGTTTTCTGTTTGGGTTACAATCTACTATTACACTATTTATCCTTCAAATGTTCCAGCTTTGGCCTTTGGGAACCCTTTCAGCTAGCTCCTGTGTCTCTTGGAACTATCCTCATCTTTGTGTTTTTTGCGCTTTCTCCTTACTTTGTTGGCATTACCGGAATGTCCACATTCATCTCATATATTCCCTGCCCCAGGCTCCAGAAACATACATTTCTCCAAAGAGCCTCAGTTCTTTTAACTGGAGAACGTAATTAGAAACCAAGATAGGGACAGCAGTTATGCTTGCTGCTAGTGTGGTATAGATCCTTTTAAAAACTTCATTATTTCTCATGCCTGATGTAGGCACATGAAAACATGCTAATTGGGAATGGCTTTTTCTTAGGCTATATAAAATAGTGTACAACTTCAAAAAATTTGCTGGAAAAAATAATACTCTATATAATCCACATGTATAAGTCCACATATAAGCAAGAATTTTTTGTAAGTTCTGGGAAACGTTCCTTTCAATCAAGTTGTGAGATAGCCCTCAAAATATTCCAATAAGTTAGTGAAAATACAAGACTGCCAATGTTAACCAGAAATAGTAAGGGAAGAAGAGCCAAGATACTTAAAATGGAAATGAAAACTATAGAAACAGCACAGTTCCACTAAAGAAGTGATTAGATATTCATAATATTGAGAACCACAAATTCTTTCAATAAAAAATAAAGTGAAAAGAAAACTCGAAAATTCAGATATTGCTCATGTATTATGCATGCAATGGACTAGAGAGAATAGGAGTAATTCCACTGCCAAAAGGAGTTTATAATCTACTTTGATGATATTCTAGAATTTCAAAGATGGTACAAATGTTCTCACTAAAGCTGGCTGAAATTTAAAAAGAAAAAATCTCTAGTTGTTACTTACTATGATGTAGTATTAATGGATAACCAACTAGCTTGTCTATACAAGGAAGCCCCACATTATAGCAACAGGGGCAGCAAAAGCCAAAATTCTGTGCGTGCAATAAATCTTCTTGCAGAGTATTTGTTACCATAGAAGTTAATATTCCCAACCAAGGTCTCACTTTTGTTTTTGATTTCTTTAGTGACCACAAAACTACATTTAATGAATTAAAAATCACATGCATTTAGGTTTAAATCAATCAAAGAGAACATTAAATTATACTTAACATGAATCAGCATCACTATGAGATATAAAAGCCTTCCTCTTTCTTGCTTCTTCCTAACTCATGACTTTCTTCCCCATCAATAAATCAGAAAGCAAAGAAAACCTTTATCCTCCTGGTAGTGAAACCCAAATGCTCTTTGGGGAAACCTGAGAGGCAGCTCAGGAGAGAAGTTTCTGGAAAGATCTCAAGGGCACTGCAGAGCAGGAGAAACAGACTCAGGAACATCCTTTGGGGCAAGGACAAGTGATGACTGTGCTGAAGATCCACAACAGAAAGTCCTTTTGATTTACAAACAGCCCCTCTTTACCCTGTCAGATGCCGGAGAGAGCGTGCCAGCCCCAAGTGGACAAAAGCTGCCACACTTTGTGCTGGGCTTTTAAAAAATGACCCTTCTAGAGATGTCCTTGGTGGGCCAATGGTTAAGACTCTGCAGTTCCACTGCAGGCGATATGAGTTCGATCCCTAGTCAGGGAACTAAGATTCTGCATGCCACGTGGCTTGGGCAAAAACAGGCAAAAACCAAAAAGTGTGACCCATCTTACAAGAAGTCATAGCAGCATAGTGCTGGGCTGGATCCTAAACTCACAGAACCAAGCCGTTTCTGCCTCCTGCTATCCTCAGCCACCGGCATGGCTGCGGCACTTCTCCTCTGTCAACCTGAAGGGCACCCATCCTTGGTGTCCCGTTATTCCAACAGACAAAATGAGATGACACCCTAACGTGAAGCTCTTTCACTGTCCCAGACCACAAAACCTTTATTGCTGCCACCCTTTTAAGCTATCACCTTACTTTATTCTGCTGTGAAGCTGCCCCTCCAGCCCCCCTCCCCCCACTTTTCCCCCAGCTCTGTTGAAAACCTGTTTACCAGTGAGCACAGAAGAGCAGCCTGGCCACTTCAGTCATAAGACACGAGCCCTGGGCCAGAGACCTTCTCTTCCCTCCCTCCGCTCACTGCGCTCCCTCCCGCCTTCCTCTTTCTTCCCTGCTGGATCATTAATTTGCCCTCCTGCCCCGAGAGTCCCATGCTGTGCGGGTGTGGAGCCAGGGACCCCGGGGAGAGAGTTTTTTGGGGTCAGATGAAGACAAATCTGCCTTTGAGGGGAAGGCTTCTGAGGAGCAAAGCCAGAGACGGAAGCAAAGCCAGTTCCTTCTTGCCCGGTCTGTGTCCCAGGGCCGAGGCCCACTCACCACCACTGCAAAGAGCAGGAGGCAGCCTGTGCTCGGAAGGACACGGGCCCTGGAAATAAGACATGCCCTGCCTCGCCACTTCCTGGCCATCCGACCAGTAGCTACGGAACCTCCGCATCACTTCTCCCTCAATTTTAATATGACACCTGCATTAATTATTTTGAGGATAAAAAAGGAGATGGTGAATATAGGACATAACAAGAGAACCCATAATAAACTATGATGCATCTCAGAAAAATCTATCCAAGGTTCTTGTCAATTCATTGGCACCTAAAATCATAGTCAAAGGTGGTCTTTTCAGAAAGGTTTTTTAGAGTTAAATTACATTTTTTAGTTCCAGAGAAACTGAAGAAAACCAGCAGCTGGCATTACAATATTTGTGCTTAAAAATCTGAAGCAAAGACTCTGTTGTGATGGTATTGATAATTTTTTTTAATGTTTCTGGACAATACTTGACCCCTCTGTTTACAAGACTTTTTATATGCTGGGAGGGAACGTATTCAGGGGTACCTAATAAATACAGCAGAAATGAGTCGCAGAGGCAGCTGAGAAAACATACTCACCGGGTGATATTGGCCGGCTTGAACTGGGAGAAGGTGTGTAAGGGATCGGGCTGGACACAGTGCGAGGTCTTAATCCTTGTGCAGACATCTCGTTAAAATACCTAAGAGGCAGGATGACATGGTTAGCACTGCTTGCATCCCAGCAGTTCCTCAGAAAGCTCCCCTGAGAAAATGTCAGACGTTCGCATCATGAGGTAGAACTCCTGAATGTTCAGAAAGTGTCGCTGTAGCGATGCACGTGTATAATACAGTCGCCAGAGCCACGCTGCTGCACTGCCTGGCACAGCTCTCTATGCAGGGGCATGGGTGAGGGAATGCAGGGTGTCTTTACTCAGGATGGAGGCCTGATGACACCAGCATCACAGAGAGGACCAGGCTTTTCTCCATCACAGAACAGCTACACAGGAGTTCACTCCCCCTGTCCCAAGAATGAGACACAACCACGTGGTAACTGTGTGCTGTGTGCGCGTACGTTAGCTGCTCAGTCACGTCGGACCCTTTACGACTCCATGGACTTACAACACTCCATGCTGTAAGCGTGTGTTGTGTGTGTGTGTATATGGTTAGTTGCTCAGTTGTGTCGGACTCTTTGCGACTCCTGCCAGGCTCCTCTGTCCATGGGATTCTCCAGGCAAGAGCACTAGAGTGAGTTGCCATTTCCTTCTCCAGGGGGACCTTCCCGATCCAGGGATCACATCCAGGTCTCCCACACTGTAGGCAGATTCTTTAAGGTCTGAGCTACCAATGGGGCTCAGTGTCTACATGTAAATGCTATAATGGCTACATGTAAATTGTTACTCGAAAGACCAAGCCAAACAAGCCCTCTGAGATGTATGTCATCAAATTAAAGGTATGTGGTTCCCCGAAGTGGATGTCAATTGTTTACAAGGCAGGCCTTGTTTAACAGTCACGTGTTTGAATGCGGGATGCAATAAAAAACACTCGGGTGAGTACCTCAGCAGGTCACACAGTGCACGTCAGACTTCTTCCTGGATTCAGAAATCACATTAGACCTCACTCGGTGAATAAGCACAGAGAGCTGACGAGGGCGAATTTCTGCTTGAGGGACTCTCTAATAAGTGATCTTTCCCAGGCTTTCCAGCCAAAGGAAGGAACACGTGCAGACATGCCTACCCTAGAGGCGATCTTAGCCCTGACGTTTAATCAGTTCACACAAGGAACTTGAACACAGTTACTTCTATGCAGGTTTAGTCAACTCGAAGGAAACAAGGCTGCCAAGTCTGGCGTGCACCTGTCAGTGAGCTACCCACCACCAGTTCTCCCTGCTCTCTCAGTGGAGCCCAGCATGGCGCTGCTAGACCAGACACCTTGTGACTCTGCAGCCAGCAAGGCTACTAAGACCACTTCTTGGTCTTTAAGGAATTAAACATATGTAAGTCTCAAGTGTCTATTTTCTTTCTCCCAAATGTGATACTATCCCCAGTAGGGACAGCAGACGTCTTTATTGGGCAGCTGTACTTGACTCCTGATAATCCAACCTAAAAAAGGTAACAAGGACCTACTGCATAGCACAGGGAACTACATTCAATATTCTACATTAACCTATATGGGAAAAGAATACGGAAAAGGATAGATAGATGAATATGTGTTAGCCGCTCAGTCATGTCTGACTCTCTGCAATCCCATGGACTATAGCCCACCAGGCTCTGCTGTCCATGAAATTCTCCAGGTAAGAATACTAGAGCGAGTAGCCATTCCCTTCTCCAGGAAAATCTTCCTAATCCAGGGACTGAATCCAGGTCTCCTGCATTGCAGGCAGATTCTTTACCATCTGAGCCACCAGGGAAGCCCAGATATCTGGATTTGTATAACTAAATCACTTTGCCGTATACCTGAAACAAATACAACATTGTAAATCAACTATCCTCCAACATTAAATAAAAAAAGAGTGGGAGAGAAGGGCTAGGAGTCAAATGTTGTTCCTGATGCTATCATGTACACTGGACAAGTCAAAAAAAAAGAAAGTAAGCAAGGCAAACCTTCTGCAGTAAATACCAATTCTGGGGAAAAAACGATGTTTGTCCAGAAGACTGAAATAGCCTTAGTGTTGTCACCGTAGTCAGAGAACTTGTCCTTCAGTGCATCATATTCAAAATTCAAAAAAGAGGGGATATATGTATACAAACAGCTGATTCATTTAGCTGTATAGTAGAAACTAACAACAATATAAAGCAACTATACCCCAGTTAAAAAAAAACAATCAAGCACAGGGCCCTGTGTTGTGTATATTAACATACACTCTGCTTCATTTCTTCAGGTAATTGATAAAGTAGTACGTTAACTAATATTCTAGCTGATGTTCTTGGTCAAAAAGGTTTTCAGAGGATAAGAATTTCAGGAAGAATGAGACACTGTCAGAAACAGATCAGTGAAATTCAGAGTTAAGGATGATCATTTTGGAATATAAACTTCTGAGGAAAAAAGACTCACTTTTATTCTTTTCAAACAAGGAAGATAGTTTGAAAAACAGATTTAAGTCTATTTTTATTAAAGTGTTTTAAATGATAAAAGTAGATCTTCATTAGAAAAAAATCATACATTTTTTACGAAATGATAATACTATCACTGCCCACAGCGAATTAATCAGAACGCCTGTTAGCCCTCTGGATCTGTTCAGTAAGAGAAGTGGAGTGCTGATCTGCTAGAACTGCCCACATGTGTTCAAACAACATGCTCTGGTGTCAACAGCAAGTGTGAGTCATCACAGCCACTGGCAGGCCCTGGTCGGAGACTGGCTGCCCAGTCCTGTCAGATGGTGGTGGTCTTAACAATCACCTCTCTTCAAAGTACAGAACAGGAGGGCGGGTAGGGAAGGAAAGGAAAAATCTGTCTAGCTAACCAAAGGATGACTCTCTTATTCCAACCCATTTCTCAGTGGGACAATGAGGGGTCTTGATATTGAGGCCTGGGCAAATAAATGTATTTGTTTTGTTTTTGAAAAGTAGCTGCAAAAAGGCTGAAAAGTCACCAAGCGTGTTAAAGCAAAACCTCTGGCTTTCAAAAACTTTCGCCCATCTCTGGCAGATTCTTTGACCCCCTGGACACATTTGCTTTCTCAGGCTGTACCATGCATGGCCTGCTCATCTTTCCTGTGAACTAAGATGTTCCCACCCATACTCTAAGGGCTTCCCCGGTGGCTCAGCAGTAGCAAAAGAAGGAGACGCAGGTTCAATTCCTGGGTCAGGAAGGTTCCCAGGAGAAGGAAATGGCAACCCACTCCAGTATCCTTGCTTGGGAAATCCCATGAACAGAGAATCCTGGCAGGCTACAGTCCATGGGGTCGCTAAAGAGTCAGACATGACTTAGCAACTAAATAACAATCACCCATGCTCTAAAGAGACATGACATAGGATCAGATGAATTCAACAACACATGCCGATGCTGCCTCTCTACACATGACCTGCCCCACTTCTCTCCTATCAGTAATTTGGCAAAGGTCATTTTCTTCATCTTTCTGTGTTTAAGGAGGATGCTCAATCTTCTCCCTTTATCCCATTCTCGGCATCCACTTTGAGGTGACAGCATTCATCATGACAATAAATAAACGTTCCAGCCATCTCCTACCACATCTCACAGGAGGTGAGGCGGGGCCGGAGGCTGGTTTTTGCTGCTGTTGTTCTCAGGAGGTTTGTGGGACGCACACACCTCTCATCATCCATCTCTAAGCTGGACTCGCTCTCGGAGAGCTGCCGACAGAGGGCCTCTCTTCTCTCCATCTCCCGCTGCAGCTTCCTCTGCAGCCTCAGGTTCTCCTCTCTCATGTGACGCTCCTCCTCCAAATACTGCGCCATTTTCTCCGAATCTGAAAAGCCAGAGTTCTCGATTAAACCAAGATCCGTGCAGTCATAGTCCGCTCTTAAAAAGACAGGGCTGGTCCAGCCTCTGTGCCACAGACCAAGAACAAGACAGCCGTTCTCACTCCCCGCACACAGATGACACCTGGATTTCAAGTTTATCCCAAGGTTGACCAATGATCTGCACTTAGAAAAAAAACGTGAAAAGCAGTGAAGGGTTAGGCAGCATCAATCCCACTTCCTCAACTTCTAAAGTGCTCTATGCAGAGGAAGACACGCTGGAGCTATGTCTGGCCGGAGTGGGTACCAGAGCTCTCACTACCTTGCTGGAGTGGAGAAGGGAAGGGGTCCAGATAGGGAAATAAATTCAGCCCATGGGCTCCCCTCAGGGCACCACTTCTGCTGCCTGTCAACACCAGACACAGTGGGGCAGGTCATCTATGCGAACACACCCAGAGACCACACTTGTTAGCACACCCCCAGTGCAAGTGGTGGTGGTGGGGGTGGTGGGGAGGGGCTTGCACATGGAGAACCAGTATACTCAATGAGCTAGGTGACAGTTATAAATCTTTTTATAAAACCAGAAACTGATGTAGTAAGCACTATGTGATCAACATTTCCAACATTAGATCAACATTTCCAATTAGTCTAATTTTTGGTGTATGTGTTACTGTCTCCTAACTGATGCACAGTGTTTTGGAGGCAGACAGCAAATCAAGACCTATGTGCAGCCAGGTACTTAGGATGGCTCTTGCTTATGACAAGTACCCCTTCCTCGGGAGCTGCTCCATATGTGGGGCAGTCAGAACTAATCGGCTGCAGGTCTAGACACTATAGACTCAGGGTGAACCAGCCAGATTATTTCTTGGAGGAATCTGAAATGTGGAACCAACATCTTCCTGGGGCTTTGGAATCCCCTTCTGCTGAGCTGTCTGCCCTCCGGAGTACCGCTGCAGGATTCTGTGACATCCCTGCAACCAAAGGTAAAACATGACCCTCTGCCCTTTCCTGGTTTACCCTAGACAGACCTCCCCCCTTTCCTGGTTTACCCCAGACAGAATATGTTGTTACTAAGTAACAAAAATAACCTTCATACAAACCTCAGTGTCTACCCACTTTCTTGGCTCCTTCATTTTCCCCTATCTCGGGCAAGGAACTTGGGAAAAGTACAATCTCCATCTACTTCTCTTTTCCGAAAAGTACTTACAAGTTTAGAGCGGCCGTGACCACATCTAAGAGATAGCCTGACAGGATACTACCCCATATTATCAGTCTGGTCCAAATTTAAGAAGGAAGGAAGGTGGTAACTGCTACACTGACAATTTCTCTCCCATAAACTGACCCTATTTCTACTCCCAAGTCTACCAAATGAGTTCCAGTTTTATATAACTCAATGGAGGTCTGGCATTTTTAGCAAATAATGACTTTTGATAAGTACTCAATGACTTCCAAGAGACCATCATGACAGAATGCATCCAAGTTTTTGAAAATCCTTATTTTAGAAATTCAAATGAAAACACCCAAATTATTACACACTATTATGCGCGCTAAACGCTAAATCTCTCGGCTGTTTTCAATCTAACCAGAAACCCTGCTGTCTAATCCAGATGCAAAAATCTCCTTAATTGAAGGCATGCTGGGAAAATATTTACAAAGGACACTTTTAATATAAATGATTAAAGGTATTTCACCCCAAATATGCTCAGGGGCAGAATTTTTCACTTGCTCCAGAGGAAGTACTCTATCAGCCTCTTGGAATCTTTAGTGTTTCTAGAATGAGATGGGCAGCTGTCGGGGCAAGTTGCCTTTCTTTTCCATAAATAGAGAACTGAGGATTCGTGAGGCTTTGAGAATAATTATTTAAGAGGAAACCCTGTCTTTCAAAGAAAAACGGCAATCCTTTAGCATCTGGGGAAACCAGCAGGGGGATCCTTAAACAATAAGCTCTAGACAAGAACATCAGTCACCAGGAGCAATGGCTGAAAAGACTGCCTGGCAGCTTGGCAATTAACCCAGAAGCCAGAGGCCCAGAGAAGGCAGAGGCCCACAGCCTCCGGGTGTGACAGACCCAGGCACAGATGGCCGAGACATGGCACTGCTCGGCTGCCCTCAACTGGCAGGTCACCCCACCTGATCTCACGGCGCTGGATTTATGCTCGGGGCTCAGATGGTAAAGAATCTGCCTGCAATGTAGGAGACCTGGGTTCAGTCCCTGGGTCAGGAAGATCCCTTGGAGAAGGAAATGGCAACCCACTCCAGTATTCTTGCCGGGGAAATTCCATGGACAGAGGAGCCTGGCTGACTACACTTCATGGGGCTGCAAAGAGTCAGACGTGACTGAGCAACTAACACTTCATTTACTCTCAGGAGTCATCCTCTTTCTCCCACACTGAGCTCCCTAAGGCTTTGAAGTCACAGCTTATGCTTCCGCCATCTTCAGCCACCTCACAAATTCAGTCAAAAATAGTGTCAACTGAAGGTGATTTCCAGTCTCCCAAAAGATGGTTCCTATATGATCCTAAGGTGGCTTGTACCTGGCTTTTTTGCGGGGGGTGGGGGGGGCTGGTGTGTGGGATCTTAACTCCTGGACAAGGGATTGAGCCCATGTCCCCAGCACTGGCAGCACCCTAAACACTGGACCACCAGGGAAGTCCCAAAGCCTGTACCTTCTGCATTCCCTTTCAAGTTTACGGTAAGAAAATACTTCTGCCCAGATCTCATCCAAACCAATGAAATTAAAATCCACGAGGATGAAGCCTCCCCACTGGTCTACGAAAACTCCCCCAAGGCTTCTAACGTTCAAGCAGAGTTGAGAGATATTTGGAGAGAGGTTCAAGCTCAGACTCAGCTTGACTTATGGGAAAAGGCCCATGTGCCCTAGGAGCTTTCAAAGGGGACTAGATTATGCAACATGAGGCGGCAGATGCAGGTGGATGAGCAAAGTCTCATGAACTCATCCTCTAAACCCAACCTAAACCAACTGGGAGCAGCTAGGAGCCACATGCAGCCACTTCAGGTCAGCTTTCCCTGTCCTCACAAAATCCAAACAGCATTTACAGATGCCTCTGTTGATATCCACAGTGTCTCCAGGGATCAAACACTGCACTGGGAAGGAAGTAGAGGAAATAAGATACCCTTCCCAAATTTCTTCCAAAAACATTGTCTGGGGAACAACAAGGCAAGTATACACAGGAAAGAAAAATAGCACTGGAAAGATTTCAGAAAGGGGACAGACCTTTGTTTGTCCAACACAGCAGAAACTCAAAAAACACCCAAACCTAAAACTACTAATACTTGAGAACTCTTTGACTTGTTTTCACGGAAAACACATCCATGGTGATTCTCAAAGTGGGGTATATGATCAGAATGGCCTTTATTTAAAAAAAATACAGAGGACAAGGCTCCACCCCTAGAGTAAGCCCAGAAGCCTATATGGGGTTAGACAGGATGGTGGCCTTCTACAGATGTCCACACCCTAATCTCTGAAGCCTGTGGCCATGTTGAGGTTAAGGACCCTGAAATGGGAATCATCCTGGATTATCGGGGTGGGTCCGATGCAGCCCCAGGGTGCTTAAGGGGAAGGCAGGAGGGTCAGAGTGAAAAGATGTGACATGGGTGGCAGAGGTGGGAGTGGTACCCATGCAAAGGAGGAGTCATGAGCCAAAGAATGCAGAAGCCTTCAAAAGCTGAAAAAAGCAAGCAAACAGTTTCTCCTTTTAAGCCTTTTATAAGGAAACGACCCCTGCTGACACCTTGATTTTAGCCCAGTGAACCTATTTTGAACCCAGACCTCCAAAAACTGCAACATAATAAATTGGTATTGTTTTAAATCAGTGAGTCTGTCTCTTTTTTTCCTTCACCATCCTAAGTGTGGTTGAATTTGCCCCTTGCCACGTCTTTCTTCTCACAAGACTTTCTGGGTCAAGTGATTCCTGGCCAAGAAAAAAAAAGCAGAATTGCCCCCCTCCTCAATGGATTTGAATGAAAACTGGTAATAACACCAGGTACAATTCCAAGGGAAGACATACGAGAAGAAATCAGGTACAATTCCAAGAGAAGACATAGGAGAAGAACCAAGCCGGGTCTAAGGAGCCTCACACATGAATCGCACATATTTATACTGTGTCAAGGTCACTTTCATCCTACCATATCGCTTTCGTCTTAACCACACAACTACTGTCTGAACAGCCCACATGTGTTCTATAGAAGAGATGGAATGGCTGGTTCTCCTGTTGTGTGTCTCAGCTAGTACTTCATCTTACTAATAAATATGTGAGATCTTTTGTTGGAAATAAAATAAATGACTAAGTTTGTGCTCATTTGTTAACAGCAGGCAATAGGACACCTAACACACTGTATTTCTTAAAGGTTCCCAAGATGACCTTGATGTCCCATCCCAGACACAGTACTGAACTAGAGCTTGCAATACACTTCAGAGAAGAAAACATAAAGATAAGAATCACTGAAATTTTAAATGTGCATTTCATCTGACTCAGCAAATCCATGCCCTGGAGTTTACCCTGAAGGTATTTTTACACAGGTATCAAAATATGTGTACAGAGATGGTCTCTATGGTAGCGCATGGCAGCTCAAATGGGTCTGTTGATAAGGAATGAGCTAAATAAGCTACAGCATACCATACAATCAAACCCTGCACAGACTTTAAAAGGGAGAGTAAGGCAGTTCTGTATGTATCGGCAGGGGAAAAATTGCAAGAGACAGTAAGTGAAAAAAGAAAAATGCAAAAAAGGTATGTTCACTGTGCTACTATTTATATAAAAGAAGTCTACACACACACACATCTGAGGACTATATTAAAAATGTGCTAATTGTAAAAATTGGGGGGCTGGGGGTCAGGGGTGAAAGAGACTTATTTTTTCCCTGCATACTTTGTACTGTATTATCTATTCAAATAAATTTGAACAGTCTAAAAACTGAAATAGGAGAAATGCAAGCAAATACACAGTGACCAATCACGTATCCAGAAATTAGTTCCTTAGCTTTCCAAAAATAAAAAGAATATACTTCAAAAGCATTAATTTCGTCAAGTACCATCAACAACTATTAGCTGAGACCCAATTTTGGTAGTCAAGAAGATAAATACTCTTCTTTGCATTAATGCTCCCAAAGTACACTGAGGTCTCCAGCATCCCTTCTGTTAGCCCCATCTAAGAGATGACACCAGGCAGCTGGTGAGAAGTAGTACTGCCTCTGATATAAAATAGCTAACTAATGGGGACCTACTGTATAGCACAGGAAACTCTCTATTCAACATTCTATAATGACCAATATGGGAAAAGAATCCAAAAACAGAGTGGATATAGATAACTGATAACTGATAGATATAAACAGATATTTGATAACTCATTCACTCTGCTTGCTGTACAACAGAAACTAACATACTGTTCATCAACTATATTCCAATTAAAATTAATTAAAAGAAAAAAAAATAAAATTAATTAAAAGAAAAGAAATAGTGCCTCTGATCCTGGACCCTCCTGAAATTATGTGATTTTCTAGTATTCTTAACTATTTGCCCTGCCCTGTTATATTTTTTTTTAAATAAACTATTCCAGGATGACAGACATATAATTATGTACTGGAAATGAAACACAATATGAATTTAATTTATACAAATTCAATGGGAAATACATGCATTTAATAGAACTCTCTCCTTGGTAAATGAATTACTTCTGTGGACAGATGGCCAGTGACAGCAAGGCTACGTACGCTGTAACTGGGCAGCTCTCAGTTGCTTCTTCAGCCTCTCCACTTCATTCTTTAAAAACCTGATGTGTCGCATCATGTTTTCTGGAGAGTCGATCTCCATGGAGATGTCTCTAGGTGATGGGGGAGCAGACACCGGCTGGTCTAATTTCTCCTGCAGGATTCTTCATTGAAAAGAAAAATCCAACAATGAAAAACAGTTTGTCTTTAAAAGATAAAACACTGATTTGATGCTCACCTTAATCTATTTTAAAAATACACAAACAAATTCTTAGTAATTGAAAAATAAATACAAAACAACACATTCTAGTTGGGAGGTTTGTTTGTTTTAATAGCATGCTCATATTAATCACCAAAATTCACTAAATTGTTTTAACTTCTCTGCCCATTTTCCAGCAATTTTCAATCGCCCTTACTTGACAGCCAAGTCAAAGGACAAAGCAGAAGAATCCACCTTCTCTTTCTTCCTGTTAAATGGCTGCTGGTAATTAAGCTTTACATAAAAAATCTCTAACACTGGCTTCTGATTACCATGCCGGGCATACCCTGGGCAGTCAGGATGATTTGCTGACTAAATGGTCCACATGCTGGGCTTGAGGGAATGAGACCCTGGAGGAGGTTCCCCTCAGTGCTTTTAGTTGAAACTTAAGAACTATAGATCATGAATCTCTTTGGAGGGTTGTGTCAAACAGACAGATACACTTCTCAACTCCCCTCCTGAAAAACCAATCCTGAGACTTCCCTGGTGCAGCGGCTAAGCCACTGCACTCCCAATGCAGGGGGCCCAGGTCCGATCCCTGGTCAGGGAACTAGATCCCACATGCAACTTAAGATCCTGCTTGTTGCCACTAATACTTGGTACAGTCAAATAAATTAAAAAATAAATATTTTGAAAAAGAAAAAACACTTTTGAGGGCAAGTGGATGGAAGGCCCTTTGCTTCTGGCCACAGCAAAAGTAAAAAGAGTTAAAGACAAAAAAATGTACTGGGTTAATAAGTGGTGGTGCCACCTTCTCTACCAATTATTTTTAGTCTGAAGTATGTAAAGCTCTAATATTTGACAAAATGACAATTTCATAAAGTTCCATGCAATAATCTGGTATTTATATATATAAAACCTTCCACTGCTTTCTTCAAAGAAAGATTGACTGGCAATAGACTTCTCTGCCTCCTTTTTATAAACTGCTGGGGAGTTTTTGGTTTAGATTGGTTTTTACCTTTGAGTTTATCCCTTGCTGAGAAAACTAGTTGGTTAAATATTGTAATGGTCTCTCCATCTATTAGATGAAATAACTTTTCATGATTCAATTTGTTAGTAATACTATAATAAGGCAAAACATAACTGATACAACTACTGCTTGAATAATTCCATATAGGTACACCTTGGACCTGCATTTTTTAAAGCCTGTGGAAGATTCCCTGGAGAAGGGCATGGCAACTCACTCTAGTATTCTTGCCTAGAGAATTGGATGAACGGAGGAGCCTGGCGGGCTACAGTCCATGGGCCGCAAAGAGTCAGACACAACTGAGCGACTAACATACAACCCACACACGAATCTGTTTCGCAGATCTTGAGATGAATTCAATCTATGGTTATTCATCCGAACAAAATATTTATGGCAAATATTTCTGATCAGTAAACAAAAGTTCCTGGTGAAGTAGGTGAATGAATATTTTCAACAAGTTTCCTTTCTATACTCAAACATACATTGCATCTACAGAACTTCCCTGCCATTAGCCCTGTTCCACCCACCCCAAAGAAGACAGTGCTTAAATCTAAGGGCCCCACCAGACCTTTTTTTGGTGGGGGATTGTGTGGCACAACATGTAGGCTCTTAGTTCCCCAACCAGGGATTGAACCCATGCATGCTGCATTGCGAGCTCAGAGTCTTAACCACTGGTCCACCAGGGAAGCACTCCCACCCCAGTTTTTGCACAAAGAGATTCAAGATTACATGTGAGGCTGAGTTTTTCATATCCATGTACATACATTTAACAGTAAAAACACTAGCCTTAAATATGTACAAGTAAGTCTATTAAAAAACAAAGTTTTATACACTTTATCTATAGTAAGTCTTAAAACACAAAGATGATCACTTGCTATTAAAATCTCAGGCTTCCTAATGAAGTACGCTCTAGAGATATGTGATCAGTCATGGTACACAGCACACATCCTAAGCACTTCAGAAAATAACTAGGGAAGACAGTTCAATAAGGTAAAAAGTTGGTGCAGCCATCCTTCAGAACAATTCAGGGGCGGACAAGAGCTCCTTAACTAATTTCTTCAGAGCCTCCAACATCAAATGAAAAGAAATTCTACCAGGACAGTACGAGGGGAGTACAAAGATGGACCAACAGGAGGATAGTTCAGTTTTGTTGCTCAGTCATGTCCACTCTTTGCGACCCCATGGACTGTGGCACGCCAGGCTTCCCTGCCCATCACCAACTCCCAGTGCTTGTTCAAACTCATGTCCATTGAGTGGGTGATGCCATCCAACAATCTCATCCTCTGTCGCCCCCTTCTCCACCTGCCTTCAATCTTGCCCAGCATCAGGGTCTTTTCCAATCAGTCGGTTCTTCCCATCAGGTGGCCAAAGTACTGGAGTTTCAGCTTCAGCATCAGTCCTTTCAATGAATATTCAGGACTGACTTCCTTTACAACTGACTGGATTGATCTCCTTGCAGTCCAAGGGACTCTCAAGGATCTTCTCTAACACCACAGTTCAAAAGCATCAATTCTTTGGCCCTCAGTTTTCTTTATATTCCAACTCTCACATCCATCCATGACCACTGGAAAAACCATAGCTTTGACTAGATGGACCTTTGTTGGCAAAGTAACGTCTCTGCTTTTTAATATGCTGTCTAGGTTGGTCATAGCTTTTCTTCCAATTCCAAGGAGTAAGCGTCTTTTTAATTCCATGGCTGCAGTCACCATCTGCAGTGACTTTGGAGTCCCCAAAAATAAAGATTCTCACTGTTTCCATTGTTCCCCCATCTATTTGCCATGAAGTGGGACCCATGAAGATGGGACCAGATGCCATGATCTTAGTTTTTTTATTACATTTATTAGTTGGAGGCTAATTACTTTACAATATTGTGGTGGTTTTTGTCATACATTGACATGAATCAGCCATGGATTTACATGTGTTCCCCATCCCGATCTCCCCTCCCACCTCCCTCCCCACCCCATCCCTCTGGGTCTTCCCAGTGCACCAGCCCCGAGCACTTGTCTCATGCATCCAACCT